ATAATATTTGACATATTATTACCACAATAAGTCTAGTTAACATCTGCCACTACACAGTTACAAAACATTTTTTTCTTGTGGAAAACTTTTTTTTTTAAGATTTTATTTATTTATTTATTTATTTATTTATTTGACAGAGCAGGAACACAAGCAGGGGGAGCTGTAGGTAGAGAGAGAGAGAAAAGCAGGCTCCCCACTGAGCAAGGAGCCCAACACAGGGTTCAATCCCAGGACCCTGGGATTGTGACCTGAGCCAAAGGCAGACGCTTAACTGACTGAACCACCCAGGTGTCCCTTCCCCAATATTTAAAAAGCACCATTGAGGATGACTCAAAATTCTGCTTGTGACCTTTGTAGTATTTTATCTTATGGTACCTAAATGGTTGAAACCTTGATATCTACGTTTTCATTGGACATTTTCACCAATTCTTAACTTCACAGATGAAGGCTATTTTGTCAAGCAACAAATGTCCAGGAAGCATCTGGCCCTGGCCCTGCAGGATGTTGATCACTCCTGGTACACTAAGCGTTAAGAATTTGTTCATGTGGTTTATTATTTGGTAAAAACATTTTCTTTTTCTTCCTTTCTTTTTTCTTAAGGAGTAAACCTACATTCTACTCATCCTGAAATAGCCTATCCAGATATTTGAGATACTCTCAAATTTTCTCACCTCTGAGACATAGTTATCTCACCCTTTTTTTGGGGTCCCAGATAAGGCAGATAATCCACATGAAGTTACTGAGGTTCACCAGACCTCTTGTTCCACATTTGTGTTAGAGTGAGTTTGGACCATTTTATCGCTAAGGTCCAAAGTGCTTCTTAACTTTTTAGATTTGATGATTCTAAATAAAGAGGATAAATGAGTGTCCCAGAGGCCGATGGACAGGGGTTGATCAACATTATTAAATGTTGCATGTAATGAATAACAGAATGTAGAATTCCTAAATTTTGTAATGTTAAGGCTTTTATGCCCAGTGCTTCACTTCAGGAAATAAAAATAACAGAGAGACTCTAGAATCTATCCAGTGCCCATTTCATGTTCATTTCCTGCTTCAGTCATCTAGCTGATGAGTTGGCAACATGGAACCAAGAAATCAAACAAGTGTTTCAGAATTTTTACTCCTGGGATTTTCCCAAGACTCAGTGTATCAACCCCTTCTCTTTGGTCTGTTCCTGTCCATGTACCTGGTCACTGTGCTCGGGAACCTGCTCATCATCCTGGCCATCAGCTCTGACTCCCACCTCCACAGCCCCATGTACTTCTTCCTCTCCAACTTGTCCTTTGCTGACATCAGTTTCATCTCCACCACAGTCCCTAAGATGCTGGTGAACATCCAAACACAGAGCAAATCCATCACCTATGCAGAGTGTATCACCCAAATGTATTTTTTTATGGTTTTTGGCGGTATGGACACTTTTCTCCTCACTGTGATGGCCTATGACCGGTTTGTGGCCATCTGTCACCCCTTGCGCTACCCAGTCATCATGAACCCACAGCTCTGTGGCCTCCTGGTTCTCATGTCCTGGTTCATCAGCTTGTCATACTCCCTGATCCAAAGTCTGTTGATGTTACGGCTGTCCTTCTGCACCAACTGGGTAATTCCACACTTTTACTGTGAACTTGCCAAGGCCCTCACACTTGCCTGCTCAGACACATTGGTCAATCATATCCTGCTATATATGGTAACTAGCCTTCTTGGCATTGTTCCCTTCTCCGGGATCCTTTTCTCCTATGCCCGTATTGCCTCCTCAATCCTGAGAATCCCATCAGCTAATGGGAAGTATAAGGCATTTTCTACCTGTGCATCTCACCTGTCTGTGGTTTCTTTATTCTATGGGACAGGGCTTGGTGTGTATCTCAGTTCTGAAGCATCTTCCTGGGGGGGCATGATCACCTCGGTGATGTACACCATGGTCACCCCAATGCTGAACCCCTTCATCTACAGCCTACGGAACAGGGACATCAAGAGGGCTCTACAAAACGTTTTGGGGAGAACACTCTATGTTCAGTGATAGGAATGCTAGTCCTGGGTTTTTGAACTGACAGGAATAGCAGCAATTGGCTAAAGAAATCCTGCCTCTTAATCACATTGAGTTTTGCTTCTCACCAGTCCTTCATAAGTGACTTTGCTCAGAATTGCCTTGCAAGTACTTTTTCTTATGTACTTTAACTTCTTATGTTGACTGCTCTGTTATCCTCAGTTACTACTCTCCACATCACCTCCTTTTACTTTCCTATTACTGCATCTCAACTTGGATTTCTAGTGCTGCGGCCACTTTAAGTACCAATTCAGAATAGTTGCATGAAGATTATGAAATAGTGCATTTTATCAATAACCATTGCTAGCTCCTATTCACAAAGCACCTTTGGTGCGCCAGGCTACAGTAGGTATCTGGAACACAGCAGTGAAGAGGAAAAAAATAGACAAAAATCTTTGCCCTCATAGAGCATAAATCCAGGATCCCAGTTTCTCTGATCACGTTTTATGTCCAAACACAATATATACACTGATGGATAAATTATTTATTTGGTTATTAGCAAGGTTGAACTTTTCTCCATATGTTTATTGAGTGCATTTCCAAACATCTCTGAGTTTGGGTTTCCAGATTTCTTAAACTTTTCAATGGGGGCCTCCCTGCTGCCCCCAGGGAGGCATTGAATGAATGAATGCTCCCATTCCTCTTCTCCATTTCCTTGAATTTTCCCATTCCTGAGCTCAGTGTTGGGTTTGTAATTCAAAGAATATTGCGGACCATTTCAACTACCTTGGAAATGTCTTTAAAATTTTCTCAAATAAATTGTATTAGTAACAAGGTGTCCCACATTGAGTTTCTTGCAATGCAGACTCTTAGACAATGATTAACATGCAGGATGTTTACCAGGCAGTGTTCCTGGAATCAACACTTGGGGAAGGGCAGATGTGTAGTAAGGAATTTGGCCTCACGTAAAGAGAGATATGGCCTTTGTCCCAGCTCCCAGCAGGTAACATTTAAACATTTGAAATTTCCCCTAGTGATAGGAGTGATTGATTATTCATGGAGGGCCTCATGGACCACACTTGATAGTTTATGTTCATGAAATGACTCAGGATGGGGGTTGGCCATGCCAAAAAGACCAGCCATGTGATTAAAGGGTTAGAGCTTTGGGCAAAGTGATATCAGCCCAACCTCAGGAGGGAGACTAAAACCTGAGTTCAACCATGCAGACCATAATTCAACTAGTCATATCTATGTAATGAAGCCTCAATAAAAGTTCTGGACACTGGAGCTCAGGTGAGCTACCTGGCTGGTAACAGTCTTTGAGTAGTGTCAGGTAAAGGTAATGGGTCTGGATTCCAAGGCAAGAGGACAAGAAGCTTCACATATGGGATGTTCCAGACCTTGCATTATGTGTGTCTTCTTTTGGCTGAATCTAATTTGTATTGTTTTGCTATAATAAAACTGCAACCATAGTACACTGCTTCTTAAGTTCTGTGAGTCATTCTAGTGCATTATCAAGGCAGTCCTCTCAGTTTGAATCATTCTAGCAAATTATCAAATGTGAAAAAGTTCCCAAATTTGTATCCAACTGGTCTGATGTGAGAGTGGACCTAGGGGCCCCTGAACTTGTGGCTGGTGTCAGAAAAAGTCAAGCCAAGCTAAAGTCCATCAAAGACCTCCAAAAACCAGCAGGGAGCTCTGGAGCTAAGATGATCTCTTAGAGTTGGCTGGAATTAGGGCAAAAGGTACAAACATTTACATCCCCACATCAAACAGTTATCGGATGTGGGCTGCCCCAGGAAGGAGGCATGACCTTGCTGAGGCAGATCCCTATAGGGGTTGATTGCCGAGGGTTGAGAAACACCCAACATTTGAAACAACATGTCCCTTATTCCTGACAGGAGATCTTTTTTTTTAATTGTGGGGAAATAACATAAAATTTACCACCTTAACCATTTTTAAGTGTATAGATCAGTGGTATTAAGTACATTCACAACCATCACTACCATACATCTCTAGAACTTTTCCACCTTCCCAAACTGAAACTCTGTCCCATTAAACACTAATCCCATCTTTCCCTCTCCCAGCTTCTGGCTCCCACCATTCTACTCTCTGTCTCTGTGAAATTGACTATTGTAGGCATCTTATATAAGTAGAAGTATACAGTATTTGTCCCTTTGTGTCTGGTTATGTAATATGATTGAGGAGAAATTAGATGGAATAGGAAAAACAATCATCAGGAAAATTGGGATCACCTCTGCTCTGGTGGTTCCTCTCCCATCTACTCCTTGGGAATCATATATCCCAGTTTTCCTAGGGAAGTCCCAGGAGACTTGATAACTGTTTATTCAAACTCAATATTAATACAGTCCCCTTTCAGTTTCAAAAGGAAATTAAATATCCTACTTGCTCAAAAACCTGATCAAGATGGGGCGTCGGGGTGGCTCAGTTGGTTGAGCATCTGACTCTTGATCTCAGCTCTGGTCTTGAGCTTAGAGTCATGGGTTCAAACCCTGTGTTGGGCTCTGCGCTGGTTGTGGAGCCTACTTAAAAATATATACATATATCTGACCAAGCTCATTAAATATTTGATGTTTTGGTCCTTAATGTAGGATTTAGATCCTCCTAACAAATAGGGGAGGAAATCATAGGAAAATAACAAGAAAGAGAGAGCTGTGATTATTTTGCAATGATAGAAACAAGACTGCTCATGACCAAGAGTCTTAGGCAATGCATAAAGAAAGTGAGAGCGGTATACAGATATATGCATAATCCTGCAGGGACTATGATTTAAGTGGGGAGTCCAAAATAATCTCCCAATTCCATTAGAGCTATGCTAACAGGAATAATCATGTAAGCAAAAAGCAGAGATCCATATAGGTACATATAGGTACATAGACATAGGTACATATAGGTACATGGTATACCATGTGGCTGCAGATTCAGAATTTCTTGTGCATATTTGATTTGCTGCATTTTCCAGTTCTATGAACCAAAAGGGATAAGACAGATGCTGAGATTAGGCTGTTCTGCTGATCATCCCCCACAGTGCCCTCTTGATGTCCCTGTTCCTCAGGCTGTAGATGAAGGGATTCAACATCACTGAGGCCACTGCACCCTTCCCGGGGGAGGGGGAGATGGAGGAACTGAGGTACACTCCAAGACCTGTTCTGTAAAACAAGCAAACAACCAACAGGTGAGAGCCACAAGTAGAAAAGCCTTTGTCAGCAATGTCCACAATAGCCAAACTGTGGAAAGAGCCAAGATGCCCATCGACAGATGACTGGATAAAGAAGATGTGGTATATATATACAATGGAATATTATGCAGCCATCAAAAGGAATGAGATCTTGCCATTTGCAATGACGTGGATGGAACTGGAGGGTATTATGTTGAGTGAAATAAGTCAAACAGAGAAAGACATGTATCATATGATCTCACTGATATGAGGAATTCTTAATCACAGGAAACAAACTGAGTGTTGCTGGAGTGGGGGGTGGGGTGGGAGGGATGGGGTGACTGGGTGATAGACACTGGGGAGGGTATGTGCTCTGGTAAGCGCTGTGAATTGTGCAAGACTGTTGAATCTCAGATCTGTACCTCTGAAACAAATAATGCAATATATGTTAAGAAAAAAAAAGAAGAAGAAGAAGGTAGCGGAGGGGAAGAATGAAGCGGGGGAAATCGGAGGGGTGGACGAACCATGAGAGACGATGGACTCTGAAAAACAAACTGAGGGTTCTAGAGGGGAGGGGGGTGGGAGGATGGGTTAGCCTGGTGGTGGGTATTGAGGAGGGCACATTCTGCATGGAGCACTGGGTGTTATGCACAAACAATGAATCATGGAACACTTCATCTAGAACTAATGATGTAATGTATGGGGATTAACATAAGAATAAAAAAAATTTTTTTTAATTTAAAAAAATTAAAAAAAAAAAAAGGCTTTGTACTTCCCACCTGTGGATGGGACTCTCAGAATGGAGGAAACAATTCTGGTATAAGAGCAAAGGATCCCTGAGAGTGGAACACCACCAAAAATGGCACCAATAAAATACATCAGCATAGTGTTGATGGAGGTATCAGAGCAGGCAAGGTGGAGAAGTTGAGGTGCATCACAAAAGAAATGATGAATTTCCACATTTGTGCAGAAGGTAAGTTGTGACACCATCAAACAGTGAATCTGAGATTCCAAAAGGCTGCTAAAAAATGACACCAGGACCAACAAGCCACAGAGGCATGGGTTCATGATGACTGGGTAGTTCAGGGGGTGACAAATGGCCACAAACCGGTCATAGGCCATCACAGCCAGGAGTAGATTGTCCAAACACCCAAATAGGAAAAAAAAGGACATCTGAGTTAGGCAGCCTGCATAGGTGATAGATTTGCCATGTGTTTGAATGTTCTCCAGCATCTTGGGGATTGTAGTGGTGCTGAAACCAATATCAGCCAAGGACAGGTTGGAGAGGAAGAAGTACATGGGGGCGTGGAGGTGGTAGTTAGAACTGACAGCCAGGATGATGAGCAGGTTCCCGAGCACAGTGACCAGATATATGGACAGAAACAGCCCAAAGAGAAGGGGCTGCAGTTCTGGATCATCTGGAGGAACTCCATCCAGGAGGAGGAACCCTGAGACAGCTGCTAGATTCTGTGGTTCCATGCAAGTGGGACATCTCTTGAAAAAGAAAAGAACATTGAATAAACAAAACAAGTGTAGAGACACCCAGCTAAGTGTGCATATTCTGATTCAAGCAATTCACAAGTAAAGTAGTCACACTTACGGAGCATACATCCCATCACCTTCAGCAACATTCCTCAATTGTAAACTCTTCTTGGAACTCTTTCCTTATTGGTGTCTGGGCTATTCACCTGTTTCTATATATGCCCACTATGAAGACATTGAGCCAAAGAATGTTAGAGAAACATATAAATATATAAACATAGAAATAGTTAGTTATACTTGCTCCAGAACTCATATTTGTTGCCAGTAAAAACTGAAGAGTTTTCTTGCTTTCCCTGCATGATCCCATTCCCCTACACTTCGGTTGTCCAAAGGCAAACACTGTCATGAATGTGGTAGATATATTTTCCTTTCAATGTTTCCATAATATTAGTATTGATTTATGTATTCATAAATAGGTTTTTTAAAAGTTTACTTAATACTATAATAATGCACATGTTGTTTCCTGAGTTCTCACTTACCACAGTAATGTATTTTGAGTGTCTGTGAAGTATACACATCTATTTCAAGCACTTCAAATGAGGCATAGTATTACCTGAAAGATAAACTTTATTTTATTTTTAATTTCTTTTTTTATTACTATGTTCAGTTAGTCAACATATAGCACATCATTAGTTTTTGATGTAGTGTTCAATGATTCATTAGTTGCGTATAACACCCAGTGCTCATCACAACACATGCCCTCCTTGATACCCATCACCCGGCTACCCCATCTCCCCACCCCCCTCCCTTCTGAAACCTTCAGTTTGTTTCCCAGAGTCCAAAGTCTCTCATGGTTTACCTCCCTCTCTGATTTCTTCCCATTCAATTTTCCCTCCCTTTCTCTGTTGTCCTCCGCACTATTTCTTATGTTCTTATTACAGTATTCCCTTCTTGTTTTTTAAAGATTTTATTTATTTATTTCAAGAGACACAGAGAGAGAGAGAGAGAGAGAGTGCAAGCAGGAGGAGGGGCAGAGGTAAAGGGAGAAAGAGAATTTTAAGCAGGCTTCACATTGAGCTCAGAGCCCGATGTGGGGCCCCATCTCAGGACCCTGAGATCATGACCTGAGCCAAAATCAAGAGTTGGACACTTAACCGGCCGAGCCATTCAGGCACCCTTATTACAATATTCCTAATAAAATTCTTGTGCCCACCTCCATATTACACAAATGAGAATTTCTATAATATATCAGCATAAAAGATGATAGAATTGTAAAAATCAATGTATGTACAATTTTACTATTAATTATCTACATTTATTTTCCTAATAGAAAGTGAGGACAAAATCAACTTCATGCTTTTATTGTCAAGGTATAGAATCAGAAAGATCCCTGGAGTCTGTGTTGCAATGGTCTTTCCATGATAGATCCACATGAAAATTCCTATCTTGTATAAGGAATAATATTTTCATATCACAGATTTCCAAAATAGGTTGCAAAATGCATTACTATTCATAGAAAATCCTATGATCTATAATATTCATGTAGTAAAGGCCCCTGTAAACCACTTACCCCATTTCTTAATTCACAGATGAACTCACAAAATCCCAAGAGAAGGAATTGGTGGTCCTGTTTCTGTTTACTCATCTGGAACTAAAGCATGTTTGAAAAGAAAGCAATCATTCCATACTGGTGGAGTGCACAGAGCCCTGGGATGGGAATCAGACTAAAGTATATGTCAACATCTCAACCTCTCTGTCCTGGTATCCCCTATCTAGAAATGGGGAGAACAGCATCCATTTTCAAGATACATGTGGCACCTAAAAGAGGTTTGCACCCAATAAATATTCAGTCATGGTTTGTAAATCAGAATTTGCATTATTATTGGGGTGGTGGGTTTATGGATGAAATCCAATCCTAAGAAAGGTTTAGTGACTTTTACTGTATTATATGTCAGAGAGGTAGAAGCCTATCATGTCCCAGGAAATTCACTCAAGAATGGGTAGAAATTGGGGTGCCTGGGTGACTCCATTGGTTAAGCATCCAACTCTTGATTTCGGTTCAGGTTCTGATCTCAGTATTGTGGGATCAAGTCTGCCCCCAACCACCTCTCCCTCTCTAAAAAGAAAAAGAAAAAGAATGGGTGGAAATCCTAAAATATGTCTCAGTTCATGCAATAAGATTTATCTCCCTTTCTCTTTTTCTCTCTTTTAATTTTCATCTTTATGAAAATCTCTAGTAATTTTTAAACATAGATTCTATTAAGTGGAAAATGATAGGTCTCTTAGAAAATCTGTGGCATAGATACACACAAGCACCGTTTTATTTTTCATCTAGATCTATGAAATGTCATTGGAAGGAAGAGAAGCACCCAGTGCATGAAAGCCACGTTAGACATGTCTATGCCCTGTTTCTGAGAACCAAAGAAGGGTCTATTCAATATTTAACAGAGATCGCTGTTTTTCTTGCAGCCTACTCTGTGCCAAGCAAAGTAAAAGCTCTGGGAAATCAGAAATGAATGTGATTCAATTGTTTCCCTCCAAACACTCAGTACCTGCATAAGGACAAAAAAAAAAAATGTTCTCTCAGGATCTAGGAAAAACTGAATCTTCTGATCACAGGATATTTTAGTTGGATAGATGGTGCTTAGCCTTGATAATGACAACAACAACAACGACAACAATAATAATACCTAAAATTTACCTTGTCCTTACTATAAGCATCTATCACATATTTAGTCACATGTTCAGTGCTCATCTTCTTTCTTTTTTTTTTTTAAAGATTTTATTTACTTATTTGAGAGAGAAAGAGCGAGAGAGGGACCACAAGCAGGGGGAGTGGGAGAGGGGGAAGCAGACTCTGCGGAGCAGGGAGCCCGATGCAGGGCTTGATCCCAGGACCCTGGGATCATGACCTGAGCCGAAGGCAGACGCTTAACGACTGAGCCACCCAGGTGCCCGTTCATCTTAAGTCTTACTCAGTGCAGTTGTATAAACTGGCTCAAAGATATTAAGAACTTGCCCAGTGTCATACAGATGAAAAGTAGAGCAGATAAGATTCAAAATTAAATGGTGGGTCTCTGAGGCCCATGCACTGAACTTGTTTGCTCTGTTTCCCTGCACTTCAGAGTATTTAAGCAGAAGTCCAGAGGTCTTTTCCAAAATTGCTAAGATAATCTTTGAACAGTTTCTTATTTCCTAACTAAGAATGGAATCTAACATCCTGACTCTATATCTCCCTTAGGGATCAAAAGGGCTTAAAATATAAGAAGGGGGTAGGAAGTGGAATATGAAGCAAAGTCTGAGAGCAGGGGCAAGAAAGATAGCTGCCCTGAATTGTCACGAGCTGACTCTTTATGGTCTCTACCTTCATCTCAGCCATTTTTTCTATCGTTGATGCATCAAGTACACCAACTGCTCTCTGGTGTCTTCTAGCATGAACCCCCTAAAGGGAAGAGCACAGTGAGTGGAGGTCTCTGCCTAGAGTAACAGGGTGAATTGGGTAAGCAGGAGAGAATACTGTCTAGGTACCCTGTGAACAGTCTCACTGTCTGCATTCAAACCTGAATTCATCCCCTATCTATCCCAGGACCTGGTAAAACTTAAAAAGCTTCTGCACAGCAAAGGGAGCAATCAACCAAACTAAAAGGCAAGCTACAGAATGGGAGATTTACAAATGACATATCTGATAAAGAGTTAGTATTGAAAACATATATAAAGAACTTATAAAACTTAACACCCAAAAAACCAATAATCCAATTAAAATATGAGCAGAAGACATGAATAGACATTTTTTCAAAGAAGGCATATGGATGGCCAGCAGACACATGAAAAGATGCTCAACATCACTCATTATCAGGGAAATGCAAATCAAAACTACAATGAGATATCACCTCACACTTGTCAGAATGGCTAAAATTAGCAACACAAGAAACAAGAGTTGGTGAGGATGTGGAGAAAAATGAATGCTCATGCTCTGTTGGTGGGAATGCAAACTGGTGCAGCCACTCTGGAAAACAGTATAGAGGTTCCTCAAAAAGTTAAAAATAGAACTGCCCAGGGTGCCTGGGTGGCTTAGTTGCTAAGCGTCTGCCTTCAGCTCAGGTCATCATCCCGGGGTCCTGGGATTGAGCCCCGCATCAAGTTCCCAGGGGGAGCCTGCATCTCCCTCTCCCACTCCCCCTGCTTGTGTTCCCTTTCTCTCTGTGCCTCTCTATGTCAAATAAGTAAATAAAATCTTTAAAACAAAAAATAGAACTACCCTATGATCCAGTAACTGCACTACTAGGCATTTACCCAAAGGATACAAAAATACTGATTCAAAGGGATACATGCACCCTGATGTTTACAGCAGCATTATCAATAATAGCCAAACTATGGAAACTGCCCAGGTGTCCAACAACTCATGCATGGAATGAGATCCTGCTATTTGCAATGACATGTATGGAGCTAAAGAGTATTATGCTAAGCAAAATAAGTCAGTCAGAAAAAGACAAATACCATATGATTTCACTCATATGTGGAATTTAAGAAACAAAACAAACTAGCAAAGGGGAAAAAAGAGAGAGAAAGAGGAAAACCAGGAAACAGACTCAACTATAGAAAACAAACTGATGATTACCAGAGGAGAGGTGTGTGGGAGGATGGGTGAAATAGGTGATGGGGATTAAGGAGGGCACTTGTCCTGATGAGCATTGGGTAACGTATGGAAGTGTTGATTCACTGTATTGTACAACTGAAACTAATAATACACTGTATGTTAACTAACTGGAATTCAAATAAAAACTTTTTTTAAAAGGTGGGTTGACGAAAAAATAAATAAATAAAATCAGGAGGTGAAAAAAAATATTGTGCTCCTATCCTTAACTCTGAAATGATGATCACGGATGTTGCTGTCTTTCAGGGGGTGGTAATACAGATAAACGGTAGCAAGCTATGTAGAAAATTTATCTCAGTGTCTCGCACTTGGAGTCCCAAGGTAAAAGTTTGTAACATTGTGGTTACTGATATCGTTCCATCATCACCATCATCATCACCTACATGATCATTTGGAAGAC